ACTTTAATGAATGAAAATCTACACTATTTAAATTTTGGGCAATAGCAAATTTATCCAAGGGTTACAATTTCTAATGGCACAAATGATAGTACTGCTCAGTCACAACCGGGATCCTAAAACTGTTCAAACAATGTATAAATCATATATTATGAACTATCGTTTATTCTCAGATAAAAATTAAGATAAATCAGTCAATATTTTAATTTAAAGGTGTAAGGGGACAACTTATTTCTGCACGGATCTAGGGGGCTGACGCCTTTTGTCTGAATATTCATCTCTTCAGATTTCTTTTTCTTTAACAAATACAAATCTTTAATTTTATTCTATTTGATTTTGTTAGTTTTTGTATGATTATCTGTGATTGCCTTTTATATACTTTTGTTTTCATATATAATTATGTTTGAGATTTTGTTCACGGCCTTGATGAAAAGCAGCTTCTAGCTGAGTGGAGGTTTTACCGTGATTAAATAAATACATTACAAATTAACATCATATCGATATAATATGCATAATACAATCCATCTACGTAATCCTCACAGCTCTCATCATCATTATAGACATAATACATCTGCCCATACCAAGAAAAGGGGAAAAACAATACTTATAATTGTTTAACTGATTCACAAATATTTTCCTTATCTGAGAAACTCCCTTCTTTAAACTCGGTATATATAAAATGCCATATGATTGCTCGTGCAAACTACCAGTATAAATGTGATGCATTAGTAATGCAGTGTATAGTGTTTCCGTATCTACATGTTTTGATGAGCTATCATGCAAATACACAACTAACACAAACACACAAGAGACTAACATTAACCGTATTTAAACTCTAAGTTGAGTTCTGTTTTCAGACCGCAAATGCCTTCAAAGTGCATGGTTATTGCTCTTATTCTTATCTGTAACATTTCTAATGCCGTTTTAGGACCTAAAATTGTTATAAAGGTGATTTTAGACCCCAAAATGTGTGAAATTAGCCAATACGATCATACCAATTCAGCTCCACTTTAAAAAAATACGGTGACCGTTAATTAATTAATTAATTAATAATAACAATACATGGGCTGGCTGGTTGTGCGTAATAATAACCAACACCAAAAAGCCAGCAAAAAAGCCAACATTGGCATTGGCTGAAATACAACGTAAAAGGCGTTATTTCGTATTTTCAACGTTTTTCAACGGTTTTTTTCAAATTATCGAATATTTGTGTCGGTACACAAATATTAGAAATCGTTATATTTGGATATTTCAGCCGTCTCTGAACCGATTTTGATTAAACAAAAATGACCTGTAATTTAAATTGTATGTTCTTTCAAATTCGACACTTGGTTTTTCATTATCTCACAAAAATTATTTTGTGTAGCGCCCTCTGCAACAGAACTCAACTATCCCTTTAATTATTTTGCTTCAGTTTCGCGGTGAAGGCTTGACATCTATTTGTATACAACTTTATACAAAATATAGACAAGATAAAAGTTAAAAGATAAAATGAAAATGAAAAAAGAAAAAAAGACTAGATTTGTAATACTTGTTTCGAACAAGTATAGGTGGGTTGATCCAACAAAAAATTGAGACAAAATGAAGGGTACATGTGAGATAGCTTTTTGTCTCAGCTACAACATACTCGAAGTTCAGCGTAAATGAAGCTAAAACGACGTAGATATTGCTCGCGAAAGACGGGAATGTAGAATCAGGTTTTGAGAAAAAGTCATGTCCCATAGAGAATACACGCAAAATGTGAAAAATTGACATGCCTCCTTTAATCGCAAAAATACGCCATGATTCCTTTGTCAAAACGAAAAATCGTGCGGACTGGATTTGTAGAAGATTGTCTCAGCTAGAACATATCAAAATTTGGATGAAAATCGATCAATTTTTACAATGATACAATCAATTTTCCATAAATATGCTGACGTCATAATATGCAAATTGAAATTTTGAGTTTGGAGGCCATTATGATGACGTCATGAGTTAATTGAGATCAAATGAGACATGAAATCATATCTCCGATTCATACTGAATCAAAATATGAAAACAAATTGGGGTCACCTTGCATCCTAAAGAGCTACAATGGATTTTGCATAGGCATGTTTTTGCCCATATATGCTATGTATTACAAGAGCTCGCGCGCACGGAAATTTATGTTTAACGGTCGATCATTCCGTCATTAATAGTCATAAAGAGATAAACATGGTATCAATTTGTTTATAAAAATATGTGGAATATTATGAAAGAAAAAAATTGCGATTCTATGTTGTGTAATTGTTTTACGTGCGAAAACGAGCGCGCATGCGCGTGTGCGCGATTTTTTATAAAATGCTTAGAAAACCAAAACGTATGCAAAATGATTTTAAGACGATTTTGAGCATTTTAGGATTTTGCGCGCGCATTATCGCGCGGACGTACGCGCACGCGCTCGTTCTTTGACCTGAAATTGACCGGACGGATATTGACCTTGATCATGATAAATATGAATGAGAAATAACTTTTGGTTATGAAGATATGATCATGAGTTGATTTTCGTAAAATTTTACAAAATGGCGCCTAGATGACGTCATCATTAAAGGTCAATGTTGAAAACGTTATTGTGCTTTGTACATATGCCTATACATATGTGTGCCAAATTTCAAGGCATTTGATCGAGCCATTTTCTCGTTATCTTGCTAACAAAAAAGTGGTTAGAAATAAGAAAAATATTTAATAAATAAATAAATAAATAAATAAATAATAAAGGCAATTCTAACGAAATTATAAGGTGGTCTGTACGTTATACAGCCCACCTGATAATAATAAATAAATAAATAAATAAAGGCAATTCTAACGAAATTATAAGGTGGTCTGTACGTTATACAGCCCACCTGATAATGAATAAAAGGTAAAGACAAGGATAAATATAAAGATGATAAATTAGATAAAGACAAAGATAAAGATACATACAAAAATACAAATAAAGATACAGATAAAGATTGCTACATACAGTAATCTGCATAATTGTATACGATATAAAACTGCAAATTGACATCAAATACAGTACCGACATTGATTTTGGCAACCCACGTGCTAAATGCTATTGTTTCCACTCAAATAATTTGATTTAGAATACAAGTAATTTACCTGACAGGGTGGTATAATAATCATGATTATAGTTAAATGCAAATCTTCAAATACACGCCTTAGCAATTAAGAGGACGTCAACACGGTTGGGGTATAAGTTTTAGCCCTAGTAAGATAGCTGTGACAATTTTGATGCGGGACTTGAAAACAGGATGCACATAATATTATAATGTTGATGATACACCCTAAGAATGTCTGACACTCGTAAAAAAGGGCAGGTTTTCAAGACCCCCATGACCCTGATCTGCCACACGAAAAGCATAGTCTGACGGGATCTTCTCAAGACAACCGTCAGCATCGCGGGTGCTTACTGGTCACCAAGATCAAGGGAGGAGGAATATTTGCTGACCTCTGACTAGACAGTCACGACAAATTTGCGATAATCATAATTACAGATAGACATTCTTTGAGGGATAGGTACAAGTCTTTCCATATCATTCCTTTCCATCTCAAAAGAAATAAGCACAGCTGAGCCCACAAGTGAGAAAAAAATTCCCCTGCCAATGAAAGTGATTTCAAACCGGTACAAAGAAAAAGGAGAAGAAAAAAATGGCCTTATTGCTAGGATAGGGTTCTGTCTTTGCAGAACGGAGAGGAGGTTTAATTCCGTAATAAAGAAGAGCAATTTTTCAACATAAGACGACGCATTATAGAGGGGAATATATCTGTGGTAGATAATGCTTCGACAATCGCACTAGTGTTCAAGCAACGGCGGAATCAAGCCGAAACGGTTCTTTTGAAAATGTACAAATGATCAGGAGTACAGAAGGCAAGTTCCCCTGTCAAGAACTCACGAAGATGGTAGTAAGGATGCTGAGGAACTGCAATCTTGACATTTCTTATCAAGGACCGAATCTGATGGAGTTCACGTGAGTACTGCTCTATGGAAACGAACCCCTTGGTATGATCAACCCAAGCAATGAGAACAGACCCATCCAAGCACACAGCGGGACTCGCGTAGCTCCCGTCCTTGGTCACTCGAAGTTTGAGGGTGCTATTTGTTGCATCAAGAACGCCGATAGTGAAGTCGTCGACCATTACCAGGACTCTTCCTGAACGCAGAGTAAAGATCTGATGGGGCTCAAAGTTGTATTGAATCTTGTTCACTGGATTCCCACCCGTCGCCTTGTACATCAACAACTTCTTCACCTTAGTGAAGCTGCAGAGGATGGTGTTGTCTTTCGTATCAACCTCCAGACCCCCAAACCCACCAACATCACCACTGAAACTATGGTCGAAAGATACATCAAGCTTTACGAAAGATTTCGAGTACATGGAGATCTTGTTGTGGATATCCCTGACAACGACATTCCCATCTGGGAAAAATACGACTCGTCTAATGGCAACATTCTTCAGGACAGTCGGCTGCATGTAGCCAGTCGAAGATACCAGAACAAGTACACCAAAGCGGGAGCATACAGCTATTCTACCATCTGGCATAGATGCCATGCATTTGATCGCATCTTTGCCAGTGAATTCAATTAACTTCCTAAGATTCCATTCAGTTTCTTCAATCTTGCCCAGTTCAAGCTCGTTTTTGCCTGCTTGTTGGCAGCGTACACGCTGAAAGGTCACCTTATGCCCTTGTTTGGTAGTATCCTTAGGCTTGCTGTAATCAGGATCACCCTTAGCAAGGATCTCTTCCAGGTCCTGGCAGAGGGTTTCGTGAGCAGCAAGAGCCTCACCTTCGAGACGTACCTTCACTCCATTCCCAACCAAACAACCCACATCATCAATCTGACCCATCTCTAACTTCTTCTCATCTTTCATGCCCTGAAGTTCTTTGTTCATTCCATTAAAACGGCTCTTACAATCCTCGATGAGGATGTCCCTCCTCTCTTTCAGTACCTGGATTGATTCCTCGCAAGCCTGGCTGATTTCGTCGGTCAGTTGCTCCTGGACGACATGAAGCTTTGCTGTTGTTTCTCAATGAAGCTGATGTATTCATCCACCTTGCCTTTCTTGACATTAACCTTGTTTTGTAACTCACGGATCTTCTCCTTCTGCTGATCTTCATGTTCCATTCCCTCCAGGATGTTGTGGCCAGCCTTAGTGTGCTCCATCATCCCGCATCGGAAGCAGACATACTTCTTACATTCGACGCAAAAACATTCTTCGACCTCCAACCGATGCGTCTTGCACTTGCGTCGATGTTTGGTCGTGATCTTGCCCGAGACGATGTCATCCACCTTGACCACATCGTGACCGGAGAACTTGTCCCACTTGGCGTGGGTCTTGTAGCAGTCGACGCACATGAAGTCGTTGCACTCTTGGCAGTAGGTGGCAGCTAGGGACTTGTTCTTGCAGGTGGTGCATATTTGACTCTGGTTCTTGATATCCTCGACAATAGTCTGTATAGGAGTATTGATTGGAAGGTTGCTGACATATCTACTTGGAACAGCCGTGGTCTTGCGACAGACTGGACAGGAGATCTTAGCGATTTCTTGTTGAGAATTGAAAAGTCGAAAAATGCATCCCTTACAGAAGGTGTGCGAGCAGGCCAGCAGCGTTGGTTCCTTGTAGATGTTCAGGCACATGGGGCACTGAAGATTCTGTAAAAGGAAGTTGTTGATTCGAGCCGCCATTCTGGTATTTCACCTGTAGGAAGAAAAGGCATGATAAACATAAAGCCTAAGAAAGAGCTAGGCAGTTCATCACGAAAAAGGCTAATAAAGTAACGGCTCGATTGAAAGGAATATTAATTAAAATGAAACAAATGCCTATTCTATTAAGTTTGTCAATTTCAGATAGATTCGGGCAAATCATTGGATGAAGATGCTGACTAATTCCAGAATGCATTGGCTGTTCTTCCCTTCTCTACTCTCTAAACCTAGAGGTGTGGTGAAAATTCAAACTAAAAATAATGGAGTTGACTCTCAAATGAGTTATTGAGCCACTAAAGTTTTGGATTAGATTCAACTAGAATCGAGGCGATCCCTAATATGGTTTATTAAACGTAGTGGATTTCAACTCCTCTACATTCAGAAAGTCGGATTTCTCCCTAACACTGCGTTCAGACTACCGAAATTCATCGTACATGAGTGATTAGAATATAGTAGTATGATGTTGAGTAATCGAAATGCTATGTTTCTATGGGCAAATTTTGCCCCACCTTTTCTGTTCTTTTCCCTAACCTGCATGGTTAAAAAAGTATAGTATAATTCTTTCCTCCTTATCCATTCAAATCTGTAAAATATGTCTCCCTGTTGTGCATATGAGTGCTTTATAACGTACCTAAGCTAAATTATAAGACGGGTTCTAGAATCTAAGCAATCCGATTGGTCAATTGATATCACGTTGGCGTGCATTAGTTTTTCCCACCATGCAAAAAGCTCCCATCAAAAATCGATAACATACGCTCGATACTGCCGATATCTCTTTCGCGTAATTCAGCCAAATTAATTTGTGCAAAGTTGTCATTATCTTGATTAAAATCTTGAATATTCTAGGCCTACATATAATAATAATAATGAATGTTATTTGTATAGCGCATATCACTAACACAAAGAAAGTCCCTATGCGCTTAGAAATGAAGGAAAAGGGCGGAATAGAAATGAACATTTATGCCTCATACATGAAAAGAATTAATTACAACAACAAAAATGATACACAATTCCTATATAGCTTACATGTAATAGGGTAATTCAGGTAATACAAATTTAAACATAAAAATTAAATGAAAATTAAATTAAATATTAAATATGTACATGATACTATAACCAAAGAAGTCACTAAACAGCTGGAACAAAATTAACAATATAGTTAGATCTAATTTAGATCTAGATCTAATATATCTATACTTTAGATCTATACTGTATTGTAAGAACGAATTGCCGATCCGTCTGATAAAACAAATAATGCACTGTTTCTCTCGTTTTAGTTATGGCAGTTCCAGTGCGATATCGATAACGCACTTGCCCTGTGGGCGCGTGCATTTATCGCTATGGGTACTGACTATAGTCACAACACCAAAAATTAGCCTGCTGGGCGGCCGGGAGGCGAGTTTTTAGCCATTTTCTCCCGGTCACCGAGCGGGGGCCGACCGGGCTCCGCTTGTTTTTAGGGCATCGCTCGGTCGCCGCTGAAGTTTAAGCGCGGAGTTAAAATTCGGGCGGCGCCTGCTCACTTTTAATCGTCGCCCAAAATACGCTCGATGCCCGGGCGGTCGCCGTCCGGGCACCGACCTAATCGAGCGTTCGCCGTCGAGCGATATAGGTCAAAAATCGAAGCCGCTAGGTCATAGGCTGCCAAGCGGTCGCCGCCCGGTCGCCGCTGGGAGATCAGTCGGTCACTGGGCGGTGAGTTCAAAATTCTATTCCGAGGCGCATTTATTATTACCCCGGCTTTAGCCGAGCTGCCATTACAGCGCTCCAGCATTTCAGGGAATTATTCCTGCCAGATACCCATTTACATCACCTGGGTTGAGTGAGGCAAATGTAGATCAATGTCTTCCCAAAGGACATTAGTCACAATGCATATCGAATTGTTCGGAGATAACCTACTTACCAAAGATGGTCGTATTCTGCAGCAAGCATGCACTGTATATGGATGTTTCGAATGCAGGAAGCGAATGTGCCAATTATCAAACTGTATACATTAATTAGCTTTTTCCGAAATATACAGTGTCAAACTTCGGTCTGCAAAACACACGCATTTATGACAACGAAGACGGAATCACTTATCAATAAGGCAAAGGGCGGAGAAAATAAACAGATAAGCTGCTAAAAATATAATATTGTGTCATGCGGTTTTCCAAACAATAGCGGAATATCCCAATGACTGTCGTTGCGATTCCAAATTCGATAGGTACCCCTTTTTACTGCCCTCATAGTCTCATCTTTTGTAATATGTGCATTAGGTCTTTCTAAGAAATGCCCCTTTCATCTCATATGAGTGCCCTTTTTCACATCTGATAAGTGCCCATTTGGCAGTTAAAAATTGCAGAGGTAAAAATACCAAAGTTATTTTTTCTTCTTCATTTTTTAAATATATTTTTCAAGCATTATCAATATCAGAGGCGGCACTCCGGGGAGGGGGTGGGGGCACAATGGCCTATATTTTAAAGTACGTAAAAGTGTCCCGTTTTGTCCTTAAGAGTGCCCTTTTTAAACACATCTGATAGTTACCTTTTTTAATATTTATATGAAGTGCACTTTTCCTTCATGTAATGTGTCTCTTTTAAATTTTTTGTTCAGGTGCATAGTGTACTTCTGAAAGTTCTGATAATATAGTCTTATAACCATTTTCGAATTATAAGTGCCCTTTTTTCATTCTGCCATGTGCCTCTTTTTCATCTTTATCCTACCATATCCTTTTACACAAATGTGATCCAATTCCTTTCATATACACACTCTCTCTCTCTCTCTCTCTTTCTTCCGCACCCATACATATGAATGAATGAAGTGACTTAAAACAAAAACACTAATTGAATACTCTCCATGCAACATATACACCATCATTAAATCACATCATTACCCTTTGTTCTCATTTCACAATTACTACCAGGCATAAGTTTCTAAGTATCATCTATTCATTCCCTCCTTATCTTATTAAATGACAAACAATATATTGCTACATACAAAATAAATTTACATACATCTTTCAAGCTTTGTCTAATCATTATGCTTACACTTTAATGAATGGAAATCTACACTTTGTACATTTTGAGTAATGGCAAATTCATTTAATGGTTACAATTTTCAATGGCACAAATAAAAGTACTGCTAAGTGACAACCGCGATTCTACAAATATTCAAACAATGTATATATTATATAAATATTATGCATATCAGACAATATCAGACAAAATTTTAATTCAAAGCCTTCTTTCTTTAAAATGTTGTATTCATGTATCGTTATGTTTGATTTACTGTTCACAAACTACAAAATGAAATGGTCCTCGCATTACATCGATATCATATACATAATATAAACCATCTACTCATTGTAACAATACATTGCTTTTGTCTAATACAAGATCATTCTCCACTCGCTGACTCAAAATGTAATTTTATATATTATATTGTGCCTTCTCATGCTTATCTCCTTTCTAACGCGCATTTCTCTTTCCTTATCTTCTTCTCAACCCCACATGCAGCTCATCATTTTGTATTATTTTCTGTACCCTCGATCTCTCACGTCTGTATTATGACCGTGTTCTTCTATCTTTGTCGTGTAAAGCATTGTCTTGTCCCTTTCTCGTCTCTGTTGACATCCCCCTATTTTGTAGTTCCTTTTGTAGGTACGGATTAGTTAATTTAATTACTTATTATTTCTAAGTATCATTTGAGGTGTTCACACTTGTACAAGCATTGCTTTTTAGTGGACCCTTCTGTTTCCAACATGTATTTCTTACATTTGTTTTAAATGCTTATAATTGATTTGTAATGTTTTGTTGGAAACATGAATATATTGAATTTGAAATAGAAATTGAAATTGAAAATACAATACATATAATCAACGACTGATTTCATCATATAGAAATAACACATCTACCCTTACCAATAACAGAGGCAACAACAAATTCTTAGTTTAATTACAAACCATAAATTCCATGGGTAAAACTGATTCACTAATATATTTCCTTTATCCGAGAAACTCCATTCTTCAAATTCTCTAGATACGAAATCCCATATGATTGCTCGTGCAAACTATACCAGTATAAATGTGATGCACTAATAATGAAATGTAAAATGTTTCATTATCTATATGTTTTGATGAGCTCTCATGCAAATACATGCAAAAATATTCAAACTAACACACACACACACACACGAGACTAAAATGAACCATAATCCTACTTAATTCTTTTTGCTTCAGTTTCGCGGTGAATGCTTGAAATATTCATCGATCTGTTTGTAATATGCAACTATGATTGATGATTTGTCAATTAAGCGTTATCTACAACAACTATTTGTATTGGATAAAACTAAAACTTCGCAACATATTTAATTAAGACATTAAAACATCGTTATCTCGTGATTATTTAAACTTATTAACGTTTATCACAATGAAAAAAATTAACAACCATACTCTTTCAATGTATTTGCAAGTTAGCAATTGTTGTTTAGAGACAGATGTGTTCAGGATACATATTCGACAGCAAGCGGAATAACCTCTACACCTCTAACATCCCCTAACCTCAGTAATAATATCTTGTGTATAATATCATGAACATAATCTAGTTTGGACTAATAATAAGAAAGGGATGAAATAAAGACCAAAATAAAAGATAAAATATTTATAAATGAATGATACACGCCATTAAAACTAAAACAACAACATATAAAAGATAAATGATAAAAGATAAAGATAAGGATGAAGATAAAGATGATAATGATTTTTTTTTTTAAGCCAAAGATACATGTATACACAGATACAACAAATAAAGATAAAGATTGTTACATACTGTAAGCTGCATAATTGTATGCAATATAAAACTGCAAATTGACATCAAATACAGCACCGACATTGATTTTGGTAACCCTTGTGATACATTCTATTGTTTTCACTCAAATAATTTGATTTAGAATACATGGCAATTTACCTGATAGGGTGGTATAATAATCACGATTATAGTGAAATA